ACAAAGGTTTTGGTAATTTTGAAAAGTTATAAAGTTGGTTTGGAAACAACTCTGAAAAGGGAACCCAAACCATTTGGTCTCTCAGCTTAGTGCAAATGATAGTTATGATCAATTGTCCTCTGCACCTCTTCCAGTTTGCATTCTTTCTCAACCAGGATATAGAGAATGGGAGTATAAAAAGGCTATTAGCAAAATGAGGGCTTGGTCTGAACAATAAAAATGCATGAGATATAAATTTACTCTACCTGACTTTCTTTGGTATAAGCAAGATTCTGTTATATAGGTATTTCAATAGAGTTCTAGAATTCCCAGAGTCTGTTTCCTGACTTGGCCTATATCAAAAGACTGACCTGGGATAATAGATAAGTAGCTTTTTTCAGAGCTTTGCATTTGCATCATATACATTGCCTACATTCTTGAAATNTGGGTGAGACAAGCAGCCAACACCCGCAGGCCCTGAGCATCCAGTTGCCTGGCCAGCTGGTTTCCAAAACCAGAATCACAGCCAGTGATGAATACATATTTCTCTCTCAGGTTATCTACCTGCTGTCTTTCTCGATAGGACCGTATCACAAAGTACAGCAAAACTGCCAACGCCAGGTAGAACCACATGCTTGCTGTGTATTAAAACAAATCAAAATTTTAAAGTCTTTGGGTTTCCTGTTTCGTTTCGTTTTTAAACCAATTTTCCTGGTCTTTCTCCTTCTATCTGCTGTCCTTCTGATGTTAATGGGCAGCAATGTGCTCCCATGAGAACTGGTATGAAGCATCCAATTCACAGGTTAATGATTAATGAAATGATGTTTGCTATAGCTGCTTTGAAGTTCATTGAACCTTCCCTTTAGCAAATAACCTCCTCAGCAGTGTGGCCAATTCTGTCTATGTAACTTCACCTGGAATAAACTAGCATAGTTGAAATATTACTAGAGGTGAAAGGTGCTTTTGAGACAACTATGACCTTGATGGCTGAAAATTTCCACAGACATACTAGAGGTGGATTTTCAGCGTGACCCCACAAAAGCACGCACGACAAAAGTGCGCCGACAAAACCACGTCACTAAAACCGTAATGTCATCAACGTGCCAACAACAGCGCGGTGCCAACAGCGCAGCAAAAGAGGGGCGCTTTACAACAGCACGTCGACAGAAAGCCAATTTAAGTTAAGGTAAGGGTTAGGTTTAGGGTTAGTTTTAGGGTTAGATTGAGGGTTAGGGTTAGCGTTAGCGTTAGCGTTAGCGTTACGTTTAGGGTTAGGGTTAGCGTTACATTTAGGGTTAGGGTTAGGATTAGGTTTAGTTTTACAGCGCGCTTCTGTCGCCGCGTTGTTGTCGGCGCAATTCAGCGCTCATTCATCAGAGCGCTTTAGAACTCGCAGGTTTGTCACCGCGGTTTAGTCGGGCGTGGTTTTGTCGTTCGCCTTTTTGTCGGTGAACCGATTTTCACTGCTCTCCTGCTACAAATGAACTATCATTCCATGTCAAGAAATTTGGTATTTTTGTACAGTCCTCAATCTACAATTGGTTATTTAGCAACTGTTTGAAGTTATGAGGGACCTCCCTGGGATTAGTTCTGATCCAGTTCTAAAGTTCCAATAGCTGCCCCCTCCCTCACATGTCAGGCACTTTTCCACTAGTCCACATTTACAACCATTTGTAGCATCCTGCAATCACTCAACTTGTTTTATGCTATTTTTGCCGAAAACCATTTTTTATTTCTCATTTTTGGTAAAACCGAGCCTTAGCAAACAATTGGTCCACTTAACGATTGCCACAGTGGTGGCTTAATGATTACTGCAAAAAAGGTCATAAAATTGTATCAGTCAGTCAAGTGGGTGAACTACTTTATAACTATCACAACCTATGACTGTACTGGGCATGCTCCATTACAGTTGTAAGTCAGAATTAACTTTAGATGTGTAGATCTCATTATTATCCATTGCATAATATACACTGAAAGTGTGTGGTGTCTGACTTGAGTGCTCTGCACTGTTTGCCAGTTGCTTAGTGGGCAGAATTAAATGTGTTGCATTGAGTTTTAAAGCTTTAAATGAGGGGTGTCAAACACAAGGCCCGCGGGCCGGATCCAGCCCATGATGTGGTCAGATCCAACCCATGGGGCCATCCTGCAAAATGTAAGGGGGTCGCCAGCATTGCTATAGCCTGGACTACCCGCATCACTTTAGCCCAGTCTACCCATTGCGAAGAGGAAACATGCCAGCAGTTTGGGGAATGGAGTCAAGCTGGCCCATCCAGTCAGCCACACCCAGTTAATGGAGTCAAGATGGCCACCACCACCCCCAATAACTACCCCCTTGCCCGCCCCCCCCCAAGGTCAACCACAGCCCTGATGTGACCCTCAATGAAATTGAGTTTGACGCCCCTGCCTTAAATGGTTTGGGGTCTGACTACCTAAAGGACTACCTGGCTGTTTAGCTCAGCAGAAACAGAACTCTACACTGTCAGGGTTTTGCCACTCTGGCATGTGGGAGTTTCTCTGAAGTTGTTCCCAAGCCATAGAAGGCACTTCCTCAAGAACTGTTTGACCAGCACTTTCTCAAAAATTAGAAGTTCCACAAATATCCCCATTAAATGAGTTCATTATTTGTTTTATTTATATATTTAATCTATTTTATTTTACTTTTTATATTGTGTTTGTATTGAAATTTAAGGGGGAGGGGGTGTCTTGAGTGCTTGTAGAGCAGAAAGCAACAATTTACACCTTGGAATTTGTACCCTTAGTAAAGATACATTGTCACCCTTTTTATAATTAGTTTGTCCCCGATCATTAAAAAGGTGCGCATACTGGCTGTTAAGCAGTTAAGGTTACTTAAGTACATCAATAGTCAATTTCACAATTCATTCTTTCCAGTTTCATAATCCCCTACCATTTCAAGGTGGATAGAAATTTGCCAGTTTGGTTTTCCCCGAGGCTTCCTTGTAGCTCTGAAACTCCAGTTTTGACAGAAAGCCTCAAACAATCTTCCACCAGACTTTGAACCTTTCCTAATTGCCAAGTCATCTTTGAACTGGCAAAACAACATAACTGCATAAGATTTGCTGATCCCTATCCAGCTTTTATTTGAAGTCACTGCAATCCTTTCACTTCTCTCCAAGGTAATAGGGGGCAATGCTCAGCAACTTTTACACAGCTTGAAGCTTCTTTTAGATCAGTGGTTCCCAATGTGGGGCCCACGCCCCACAGGGGGGCAATTTGATTTTCAATGGGGGAAAGTTGAACCGTGTTTAAACCAAGTTAATGGTCTTTTAGGCTTCCTCCACATGAGTAGAGTTCACTTTTTGAGTAAAGTAAGAATTATATATAACAGGGAGGGCATCAGGATTTTAGAGATACTTAGGTGGGGCATGGCCAAAAAAAAGGTTGGGAACCACTGATTTAGATGGTGTTAGCAGAAAAGTGAAAACATTACTTTAGCAGGTGTCTGGCATTCAATTGTCATCATCGTTTATTTTGGTCTTTGCCCAACACAATCTACATTCAATACTACAATTAAAATCATCCCATTGACAACAGTACTCTAATCTACATATTTTAAAAAGTTAACTTTTTTAAATTAGTTTTTATACAGTTTTTTTACAAAGCAAAAACAATACTGATTCAAAAAATAAAGTAAAGAAAAAGTGATTAATAGAAAAGAAATGAATGAAAAAAGACATGAAAGAAAAAAAGATATAAAGGAGTGGCTTCCAATCTTCTTTGCAGCAGTTACAGTGGCAATTATATTTCATTCTCTCTCTCTAAGATTAAATCATGATTCCCGTCTTTCCATAGTCTACCTTTCCAATCATCAGACCCATAAAGGTTCACTTTTTCTGTTTTCAGCAAAAAGTCCATAAAGTGTTTTTAGCCATTAAAAAATGAGTTTTCCCTAGTCATACAAATCAATTTTGCCTTCTCTACAAATTCTGTCATCTTCACCAATTATTCTTCTATTTTGGGTATTTCAGTGTCTTTCCATCTTTATGTATGTTTGCCAGTTTGCTAGTCTGCAGTTTGGCATTATGGCACCAGACTAGAAAGGTGAACATCATGAGTTCTAGTTTCGCAGTTAGCTCTGAAAGCCAGCTAAGTGACTTTGAACCAGTCACCTTCTCTCAGTCCAACTGAGAAGTTATTATCATGGGAAAAATAGGAGGAGGAAGCTATGTTGGCAGCAGAATGGATGGATGGATGAATGAATGAATGAATGAATGAATGAATGAATGAATGAATGAATGAATGAATGAATGAATGAATGAATGAATGAAATAGTCTTGATGCAGTTCCATGTACAAAAACAATTGTCCTTAAGTGAAAATATTCAAGTATATGACTTCAGCTGCATCACTCACGGGCTGGGAATGAAATTAAAACCATGTCATGGGGATAAAAAGCTGTTATCAGAGCATGTTTGTGCTGAGATTAGAGGCAAATGCCCATAGGATACAGTAAAAATCCTTTTAAAAAATCCCAGTGATTTTTTTTTTCTATATTATAATAGCTTAAGAAGTACGAGTGATGGATGTTGTTCCCACCAGCAAAAATCCACCTATCACCAGACTTTAACAAGTACTGTCATCTTAAATTTGCTAAAGAATGAGAAACAATCTGAAGGAAGCAGCAAACTACGCTTCCATTGTAAAAGCTCCTTCACAGACGGAAAGAAAGTTCAGCTGTGCTGCAGTGTTCTTACTTCTGGTTACATTTTTTAAATCCTCGAATAATCCATTGCTCCTTCGTATCCGAGTATTCGCTGAAGTAGAAAGTCAAAAGATTAACTCTCGGGCTAAACCCACACTTCACTATGAGACTGGGGCGGGGAGAGGAAACCACTGGAGGTCGTCAGAGGCCACCTTAGAACAACAAGCCCCTTCTGTCCGACTTTTTTTCTGGAACTACAGTTCCCAGAAGCACCTAGACAGGCGTCCGCTGTTCGGATTGGCTCTAAAGCGGCAAGTGGGTGGTGCCTAATTTCTCCCGCGCTCTCCTGTTTTGCCGAGATCATGGCAAGCTTCGATTCCGGCTCATTGCCTGACTTGCTGCGCCTTTATTACCGTCGCCTCTTCCCTTTCGGCCTTTACGGCCGGTGGCTCCGCTACGGTGACGGTGAGGAAGAGGTCGAGGGGTTTCGGGACCCCGGTGGGAGGGCGCGGGAGGCCGAGGGAAGGTCTGCAGGAGACTGCTCAACCAGTTGAAACATGGGTGACTCTGAGCATGTGCAAAATTCGGCTGCTGAACACTCCGCTTCTGTAAGATTTCAAGGGAGGAGCTTTTGGGATTGAGATTTAGGGGGAGTTAGAGGAGATCAACACGCTTTTTGTGGGGTTTTAAGGTTAGGGTAGGGACATGGGCCTGACTAGGTGGCTCAGTGGTAAAACACTGAGCTTGTCGATCAGAAAGGTCGGCGGTTTGAATCTGTAGTACAGGTGGTCTGCATGAGCAGGGGGTTGGGCTAGATGACCTCCAAGATCCCTCCCAACTCTGTTACTGTTTACTGATGTTGGCGCAGCAATATGAATTTTGAAACAAGTGCTGGCCAGATTCCTTTGTGTCTAACTGCCTGGATCTGTTCAGTAATGCAAAGATGTATTGGTAGCTTTTCCCCCCAAAACCACTTAAATTGACTCATGAAGCAGGAACAAAGCATCCTCCATAATCTGGAGGCACTACCTTTTTTGAGTACCCAGGTACATTACACAACATATAGAATGGGACTTCGTTTTAATTGGATTTTAGAGACGGTGTTTAAGAAAAAAAAATTTTTTAGAACATATGCTACCAAAGACTCAAATGTGGGAGTTAGCAATGTTGGTTAGCAGTTGTAAAGCATTTTACAAAGGTTTTGGTAATTTTGAAAAGTTATAAAGTTGGTTTGGAAACAACTCTGAAAAGGGAACCCAAACCATTTGGTCTCTCAGCTTAGTGCAAATGATAGTTATGATCAATTGTCCTCTGCACCTCTTCCAGTTTGCATTCTTTCTCAACCAGGATATAGAGAATGGGAGTATAAAAAGGCTATTAGCAAAATGAGGGCTTGGTCTGAACAATAAAAATGCATGAGATATAAATTTACTCTACCTGACTTTCTTTGGTATAAGCAAGATTCTGTTATATAGGTATTTCAATAGAGTTCTAGAATTCCCAGAGTCTGTTTCCTGACTTGGCCTATATCAAAAGACTGACCTGGGATAATAGATAAGTAGCTTTTTTCAGAGCTTTGCATTTGCATCATATACATTGCCTACATTCTTGAAATGACCTTCTAAGGAAAGTCTGATGTGGATGACCTCTCATGGATTTGTGGAAGAATTGAGATGTGAGGAAATATTCTTTATGTTCTGCCATGAAACCAAGATGGGATTGTGTGTTTTCCTTTTGTAGTGTCAAAGAACTATTTTCAGCGACGGGAATTCTCATTCACACTCCGTGATGATATCTATGTGCGGTATCAGTCTTTCAACACGCCACAGGAATTGGAAAAAGAAATCCAAAAATTATGTCCCTATAAAATTGACATTGG